GAAATAGCTGGAAATAATGTAGAAGTAACTTGAAAAAGGCAGAAGTAACTGGAAATAAGGTAGAATACAAAGTTACGAGTACTTCCTCTGGTTTCAAGTTAGTTCACGTGGTACAAATACAATCAGGGATTGGCTGGATACCTCATGAATAATTAATGAGTATGAGAACAATTTTTAGAGGTACTGTGCATCTTGCTTGAACTTTCACAGTTCCGCCGTCCAGCACTTTTATAGTATCCGTTGTAGTTTCCAACTTAATAGAAGCAAGCAGGGAAAGATCATCCACAAACGATGAACTCACAAGTAACAGTTGTGTAAAGAAGATAAGTTTAACACCGTAAAAAAGTAAGGGAAATAACTTACTGACGTTTCGGATGTTAATCCTTCGTCGGAGTAAAGAGAGAGAAATAGGTATAGTGTGAGTTTATATAGTAAGAGTAGCAAAGAGAATAGACCAATAGGAGCAAGGTAGGCATGGTAACGAGAAATAAACAAAAAAGCAAAGGAAGTGTTAGACAAAAGAACAAGAACTCACAAGTAAAACATCTGCACCAGAGTCTATTAAGCTTTTGCATTGTACTCCATGTATACACATTGACACAAATAATACCACGTTGCTTGACCTTCTCGGAGCAGCGTTCAGAAAGGTCGACCTCGGCCCTTTGAAGCCGACCTCCGGTAGTTTCCCGGTTGTCCTGATATTCCACGGATTGGCGGGTTGGTTGAAGTAGGAACTTGGTTGCCTTGAAAATGCACTTGTTGGGGATTTCCGACCTCAGTTGCACTTTGTGCTTCAAAGGGATTCTTATTACACTGTTGTGGTGTTCTGTGACCTCACCTTGATTAAACATTCCTGAAGAGGTTTGAGTAGGGAAGTTAGACACATAGGTTCCTTGCTGTGGTAGTCCTGTGCCTCCGTTGCTATTTCTATAAGGGCATGACACCTAAAGTGTCCCAGCTCATTGCAATTGAAACATCTTTGTTGTCTTGGTCTATCGAGCACACGCCTGTTTTGTCTTACTTCATCCAGTACCTTGCCAATCATTGAAGTCAGCTTGTTCATTTCACTTTTCTTCATCAGAAATTTCATCAATGAATTGATCCTTGGCTAAGGTGTCTTGAAGATATCTGCATTAGCTCCAGGATATGCAAGTTTCACGTAATGTTTAAAGTCCGACAGTGAGGAATGGCGCTAGCCGAGGTCGAGAGCTAATTGCAAGGACTTGAAACCCCGTCCAGTCCGAAATGGAGGACTTTCAACGACTTCTCATACTCATTAATTATTCGGGAGGGGAAAAAAGCGAAGGAAATAAATATAACAGAAATATATTGATTTATTGCATCTCCACCAAGGTTTTCAGTTTTCATAATGTTGAATACAAGAAGCACCCTTTGTTGTTCTCCAATTCCCGAACGGCTTTCTGAAACAAAAGCTTTTCAAATTGTCTTTATCTGCTATTCATGGCATTCCTAATGAGCCTAATTCATAAGTTATATAAGTATGTTATCTTCCAAGGAATCGCATCAGAAACTCGGTGGTGTAATGGTATTAGACGGTGCATATAGACTGGACGGTTCGGGATCGTTACGTTAGGGAGTCATGTATCAAAGACCTTTTTCACTAAATTAATTCTATATTAGAATGATTATTTCTAATACTTTGATTATCATTAGCTAGTTGTAGTTGAAAAAGGTAGAAGTAACTGGCAACAAGGTAGAAGTAACTGGAAATAAGGTAGAAGTAACTGGAAGCAAGTTGGAAGTAACTAGAAATAAGACTAAGTACTTAAGTACTTCTTCTGGTATCCAGTTACTGCAATCAATCAATCGTTTAATTAAAACCTTTGCAGCATGGGCTGAACTGCGGGCCAGTCAGCATGCATATATTATAACATTTACAATTATTATTGATAACGGACAGTTACAAAGTTATTGAGTCTCTCTGTGCGTCCTAGGGATAAGTTCACGTGGTACAAATTACAATCAGGGATTGTCTGGATACCCCATTAATAATTAATGAGTATGAGGATAGTCTTTCCAAATCAGACAATAGTTCCGGGTATGATTCATCCCAATTCAGATTGACGAGTAGCACCAAAACG